ACATTTAATGAACAAATTCTCGACTAAAGATCAGAACGTGTTGGGACATGTTACAAAAAAAGCATTCATGTGGTTCATTTGTTGTTCTCAATGCTAATTTGTGATAACTGTGACCTAATTTAAGCTCATAATAATAATAATAATAATAATAATAATAATAATAATAATAATAATAATAATAACTGGTTATTTAGAGTGTCGCTCTCTTCCAGAATATTGGTTTGGTGTAATACTGGACGCACTGTAATGCAGCAACTTGTGGTTATCAAATTACTATATCAAATGTGATGCAAAATTAAATTAAACAGTTTGTATATTACATTTAAAGACAGCTGTTGCTAGCATATTTTCTTAGCTTCATCTAGCTAGCTCTTCAAAACTAATGTTAGCTCCATGATTTAGAGGAGAACAGTGTGTCCAGCTCACTTTTTGAATGCGTTTTTCCTGTTAAACAATGGAGGATATTACAAAAAGGATCAGACATATTAATTTCATGGCTTGATACATCATAATGTGCTAAATGACTGAGGCTAAAGCTAACACGTCCCAGGAAAATAGCAGCATACTAAGTTGATAATCATGTAATACATGGACATTTTGTATATAAACAGCCTTGTTCTTGCTGTTTTATTATACATGTAAGATGACAAGAAATAAAATGAAGGTTATGACTTTTATCTTGTTCTAACAACCCATGTTGTCTGCTTAGCTTACATAGGAAAAGCTAGAGCTGCTAACGCTAGCCTACAATCTGATAGCATCCTTGAGCAGCTTCTATAAAGTGGGAAAATACTATGCATCAAATATGCAGTTTTGTAATGATGTGGTTTTATAAGCAGTTAATAAGTTAATACTGTAAGTAGAAGGCTAGTTAGCTGTGCATGCTAACGATTGCAACTCATGATAGAGCAGATAAACATTACATTTAAATTCTTCCTTACACTTTAGCTCTCATGTTTTTCCATTTTTGGAGAGGCTAAAGTCACAAGATCCACAACTTGAGTCTTCATTTCTGGCACATCCTCGCTAGTTTAACATCACGTGCTGAAAAAAATGAATCTCCTCCAACCTAACAAAACCTAAATTTAAACCTCATCCTTCATTTGCACTGCCTGGAACACGCTGATTCAGAGGAACACTGTGTGAAAACTGATGAGAAAATAAAACAAGTCTGAGGTTCAGAGAAAGAGCCATTCAACCTGACGCATCTCCATTTGCTGAATGTACCACCCAGAGCACTACATCACAGTGACGCCCCCCACATCCTCTAAAGAGCTTTATAAATATTAAAACTGCAGTGAAGGAGTTGTTGCACAGCCCTCAACCTCTGCAATACTAAATGTGACACTTTCGTCTCTGTCAAACACATATTTGAAAGAGATTGTGGTCATCTGTAAGTAAGGTATCTTTTGATGTTGCTTTATAGGTGTGTGTTGGTTTTAAAAGCAGCACAGCCACGAATTGATTGCACTTTTATTATCACACTTTACTGCCACTATTCTTCCCTCCTTTGAGGTTTTATCACTATGCAAACAAAGCTCACCTTAAACAAAATATCAGCCTTGAAGAACCTTTTATACCTCTATCATGAGAGCTAAACGATCAGACAAATCACAGCTTTACTTTAAAGGTGTTACTGGGAATAGCCCAAAACCATAAATCATCCTGAGGTAAAAACGTTGTTTTAAATACTGCAAAACTTAGTTAGTTCTCAAAGATGCAAAAAGAAAAAAGCCAAATCATCCTTTTATACTTGAGATGGTAAACAATTTTGTGATTTCAGCTCAGAAAAATAACCGCTGTTGACACCATTATCTGGTGTTTTAAGGTTAGATCTGAATTACCCTAATCACACATTTTTAACAAACTACCCGTTTTAGATACTGATTTACCAAAACCTTTTCTGTGTACTGTAATGAAAAACTACTGTTTCGTCAATGGCGTCTGGTAGCTTTGTAGAGAGTATAGCTTCAGCATATTGCTTTTAAAACAAAAAAACATGATATATTTGAGGTCGTAGATATTTGAGACTAAAAATCATATCGAAGTCAGGTTTGATGGCTAATTCACAATTTGAATAGTAGATTATTTCTTTAACATCTCGTTCTATAGAGAACCGCAGTGACGTGTCCTAAAACCCGGAAGTAAGTTAGCATTTTTACCACTCCCGGTTCCTTCGACAAAAAGCAATGCAATTTCTCCATAGGATTTTGGAAAATAGCTCGAAATAAGGTCTGTGGTTGACACAAATTGAAGAGACAGATCACGTTTTGTTCTACGACATTAAATACATCAGCAGTGACCCCACTGGTGATTTTTGAAGAGTTTACATGTCTGAAAAACATGGGTGTTAACATGTGGCTGAATAGGACTACAGAAGTTGTCGAGGCCGTTGTACCTTAATACAACCGAACACGTAAACACTCCCGCTAAGTTTGTTTGCCCTGTTCTGCTTGAAAGCAAGTACCTGCGCTCTTGCAAACTGTTAAAACAAACGCTTCAACTTGAACAATTTTGAATCTGTAGTTTTGAATATGGATCTTAAGTTGGCGTGACGTTGAAGCAGCGACCCTGCTGTAGTTCGTTTATAGCATAACGTTAGCATTTTGCTTCTGGCGACTTAGATTTATGATTAGAAAATTATAAAAGTAGGGTAGACATGTGGATATCATCCGGCTGAACAAAACGTGATCCGTCTCTTAAATGTGTGTCAACCACAAACCTTATTTCGAGCTATTTTCCAAAATCCTATGGAGAAATTGCATTGTTTTTTGACGAAGGAACCGGAAGGAGTTTACTTCCGGGTTTTAGGACGTGTCACTGCGGTTCTCTATAGCACTAGCCTTAATTAGCACAAAAACAAATATTTTCTCATGAAATCTGGTTCATGTTTTGGTGGATGTTTGCTGTCAAACTAGAGGTGATGTTTTTTTCAAAGACGTGACACACATGAGCAGTGTTGACTTTGGGAAGTGTTGACCAGCCCAGATTGACTGAATACCACATGGAGACTCTGAATGTACCACGACAAACAAACTGCTGACGCTTCAACATCCCAAACTAACTCTAAACCTTCAGGTGACCAACAGGAGACTGCTTCTCCTTTCAGCTCATATTCACACACTCTACCTGAGAGAAAGCTGCCTTAAAGGACAGGGAAACTAAGAAGAAGAGAGGGAACGTTGTGTACACGACAAGCCAAAATATTCAGGGTACAGGGTGGCAGAAAGACGGGGGATGTCCTGGATCATCTACCAAATCTGACTCATCCTGGACTGCTGGACAGAAAATACTCTGGCACTCGTACAAATATTCTTAATGCTGATCTAATAACTATCTGATCTTGTAAATCACATTAAAAAAAAGCCGTTTGAAATACAAAAGGTTTGTATTGTGTGCCATATTGTTAAAACACTTGAGCTGCATCCTGTTTATGAAAAGTGTTTTGCAAATAAAGCTTATTACTATTATAATTACTTCTTTAACATTTATTTTGTGATTTTATTCATGTTGTATTACTTTTTGTTATTTTCTGTTATTTCTAAATATGGCAACTTTACATTTGATATGTAACATATGTAAACATTAAGCTGTCTTTGGCTCTTTTTCTGCTGTAACAACGTACATTTCCCCTCTGTGGGACTAATAAAGCTATTCTGATTATGATTATGATTATGATTATCCAAAAGGATAAAAAGGCAGATAGCCTCAGTCTAGATTTTTTTAAGGTCCGGTTTAACACAAAAAGTATGAAACTTTAATTAAAGTTGCGCAAAAAAACAAACAACTATCCTTTTCAAGATGTTGTGCTTCGTCTTGGAGAATGTAAACACAAATGCCACCACATCTCATTATGGTTTGATGGCAGGAAATGTTTCAGCTAAATGTATCAGGAGTAAACACCAAGGTCTGCCTTCAGTCTCTCCACCTAAATCAGACAGACCATTGTTTTCTATGCTAACAAATGCAAAAACCTACAATCCAACACGTATAAATGACATTTTCACTATTGTCTGACATTTTATATACCAAACGATTAATCTATAAAGCCTAATGAATGATGAAAATAATTGGTGAGAAGCAACTGAGAGTTAAAAAACTCATATTGATCATAAACTGATGGAAACTGCCTTTGAGATTTGACAAATGTTTAAAGTAATACTTTCACCATCAAAAAAGTATCTCTTGAGTTGAGTATCAATGAGACTTGGATTATTCAGCATGAGTTGTGTGTTGAGTTTGTAAACAGTTGTTTTCATATCGTTTTGCTCTTGTTAAAACACAGCCCCTATTTACTTAAGTTCATCAAGACTTTCTCTGTCAAATTGATTTCTTACTCATCATGAAAGCATGCAAGAAAACTCATTTCCATTCACTAATTCAACGTTACAACACAACATAGCAGTTGATATACCAGTGGTCATTTTGTTTGTGAAGATTTCCATTAAAATGTGTGCAATGTAAGCAACATCTAACTTCACATCACCTCTTGACTTCGGTAGGTGGGCTTTTGTAAACAACATGTTATGCTAAAAATACCTTGCTGCTCTGGGATCATGAATCTGTTAGATAATCCCTGGAATTGGGACAGGAATTAATCCCCTGATTCTCTACATCAATCCTCATCTATTTGGGAACCACATTTTAACAACCCACAAACAAACAACCTAGTGTGGATACCCTGCACCGGGGAGATAGATGTTTCTAGAAGGTTTTTGGTGTGAGGTGAATAGTGGTCAGATAGTTTGTGGGAGGAGGGAGGGTGTGTCTGCAGGGGCCCTGGTGCAGCACCAGCTGTGTTTTATATCTGAAAACAAACTGAGTAGCAACTCAAAAAAGACAAAAGCAGATCAGAACACCCTGATGAGTTCAATGAACATGGGAAACCAGAAAGAAGCATGCACACACATTACTATGACATTCATGTGCAGCTAAACTTACTACTCGTTTTTCACGCATCTGACTCTCATGGAAGACCTTATCCAGCTGGATCACAACACTGTCCCAGGAACACGTCCATACCCCATATGTTGCCCGGTGCATCACGATGAGTACCAGCTCGGTTGCACCGGCCGGACAGCCTCCGTTCCGCCCGCCGCCCCTGCAGCACGCTGGGCTGCAGCTCAAACGAGCACTCCTCCCTCCACTCGGGCTCCGTGGTCTTCCTCCACCACCCGGTCGAATATTTCTCCTTCACCAGCTGGATGATGGTGTACACATCGCTGGTGCCATGCTTGCCCTTGCCCCGTAAGCCCCCTGCCTCTCAGCACCGTCACCTGGACGTGTGTCGGTAACCATTTCTGGTCATCCTCCACGGTTAGCGAGGACATGTCCCCCCCTCCCTCCTCCTCTCTCCAGACAACCGCGACAATGCGAGGCAACCGGGGAGAGGTGGTGGTGTCCGCCGCTTCCTCCCTGCGTCTGCACGGTCACATCAGCTGGCGGGTCGGCGGGCGGTGCCGCATTATGGCTGTGTGTCTCCTCTGCAAAGTTGCCGGTTGTTCGGTGCTCGGTGTGTACTCTGCGGTGTTTCCTGCCTCTCTGCCCCGGTCTCCTGCACCGTGCGGGCCTCTCTGCGGGCAGCGACGTCACGCCCTCTATCCTCCTTCTTCTTCTGCAGGACGAGGAAGTTTAACTCCACACATGTGGGCTGCACGCACAACAGAATATAGCCCGAGCACTGTGCAGGAATCCAGGGTCTGATGTTTCGACCAAAGCATGTCCACTCCTCCTCTCAAAGAATGTCAAACTCGCCTCTTTTTTGGCTGTCATGATTGCAGACGCCCTAAGGGAGGCCTCTGCACTATGAGAGCAGTGCTGGGGATAGTGAACTAAATGTAATTAAACTAGTTTAGCTACATTTTTTTGCAGTAGCTTGCTGGTAGTTCAACCTGATTCCTATTTAGATATTCATTCAACTTGTTCATTTCATTCTCTTATCTTGTTCACTTCTGGACTATGGAAAAAAAATTAATTCATTTACCCTTCTCTCCAGAATGTATGTGAAGTGCACAAATTGATAGTAGTGTAAAGTTGACATGCTTTAACATTTTCATAAGACACTAAGACATATTTCAATTTGATTTATGATACACATTGCGATAAATGGTATTACATAAATATACTTTGCGGTTGGTGGTTAAAACAAAGCTACACTCGCTAATAGTTCAATCTAGCTAGCATACGCATTTGTTATTTGTCAAGCAAAGTTTTCTGTGATGATGATTAGCATTATGACCGACAATTATTCAACAATAGTTTGTTCCAAATTGAGATTAAAGGTGGGGTAGGTAAGTTTGAGAAACCGGCTCGAGATACACTTTTTGTTATATTCCATGGAATGCTCTTAACATCCCGATAGCAATGAATATCTTAAGTGCTTTGACAAAAAATCCATTAAAACATTTCATCTGTGGAAGCCGTAGTAGGCTACTGTAAAAAGCACGACCAATCATTTTAGCCGGCCGACCTGCCTGTCAGCCTTCCATCTGTGCACAAACTTATCTCGTGCCCTCATTGGTCATGTGCGCGTTTGTGTGTGTTGGAGGAGGGGCTCTGTAAGGAAGTGGCAGATTTTTTCCGGTTGTGTATTTTCAAATTCTAGCACACTGAGCTGGTTTCTCCAAAATTACCTACCCTACCTTTAATAAGTAAGTAAACCAATAACCAATATAACGAATAGGCTATCTGTCTACAACACAAATGCACAAAACAGATAAAGATCTTTACGCTAGGAGAAAAACTTCGACATTTGTCCACAGGGGCCACCCAAAACAGCACAAAATAAAAGTTCCTGATGTAAAGTTTACTTACCTGAATAACCTTATACGCTTGCTAGCTTATTGAATAGTTAGCATCAGTGACTTTAACACCAATGTCATTGTCTAGCAAGACTTTACAACTTAAACGGCAACGCCCAACATGTTAAAAAACATCCCATGTCGTAACGACAAGCTCACAAGTTAAATTGAAGAAATCAGACATTATACCTGCTGTATAACTGTTAGCATTGTCACTGTTAGCAGGCTAGAAGCTGATATTAGCATTAGCTAAAAGCACTGCATATTGCCTCTTTGTATTGTTGTCTTTGCACTGCAGAAAGTGCTTCACAAATAGAGTGTGATAGTATATAATTATATATTTTATAATGATTAGGGCCTCTTTATGATGCAGGGGGTCGAAGGGAGATCAGCAAATTCTCTTTTCCACTGTGTTAGCACCACAGGCAGGATTTTCCAAGCTACAGCACCAAAGGTTGTGACATTAAAGGTAGGGTAGGTAAGAATGGAGAAACCAGCTCGAGTGCGCTAGAATTTGAAAGTATGCAGCCGAAAAAAATCTGCCCCTTCCTTCAGACTTCCTTACAGAGCCCCTCCTCCAACACACACGAACGCGCACATGGTATGCGAGGTTAGGTCTGCCTGCAAGTGACTGATGGCAGGACTTGGTAATGTTGCTGCTGCTGTGTTGGTGTTGTAGCGCAAGAAAATCAATAAATGAAGTGAATAATTTGTAGCTGAATGTGGACAACCTTCCCTCTTGGTCATATCTAGACACACTAGTGAAAGGGATCATTAGTTCAAGTTAGAAGTACTTAATTGGTTAATTTACTCATAGTGATGGCATTCCAGTCTGCCTGTAGCTGTCAACACATCAGCGGTGTTGTGAGGCACTAAATATGTGTTAGATTTCTACACACATTTTGGATATCTAGTCTCTTAAAGGTAGGGTAGGTAAGTTTGAGAAACCGGCTCGAGATACACTTTTTGTTCTATTCCATGGAATGCTCTTAACATCCCGATAGCAATGAATATCTTAAGTGCTTTGACAAAAAATCCATTAAAAAATGTCATCTGTGGAAGCCGTAGTACTGTAAAAAGCACGACCAATCATTTAGCCGACCCGGCTAAAATAACTGGATGGCCTACCTGCCTGTCAGCCTTCCATCTGTGCACAAACTTATCTCGTGCCCTCATTGGTCATGTGCGCGTTCGTGTGTGTTGGAGGAGGGGCTCTATAAGGAAGTGGCAGATTTTCTCCGGTTGTGTATTTTCAAATTCTAGCGATCTCGAGCCGGTTTCTCAAACTTACCTACCCTACCTTTAAAGCTCATATCAAGCTAAGCATCAATAAATTATGATATGGACAATTACTGGATTGATGAGTCTGTTGACTTGAATACATTTTGGTAGAAATACTGTCATGATCTGGGTTTATGTTTTTTTGTGTTTCTTTTTTTATTTTGTAGAAAACAATCTCCCTGTGTAATGTCTGGTTTCACTTCCTGTCTTTGGGTTTTCATGCTTCCTGTGATTGTTTGGCACCATTTTTTCATCCACCTGTGTCTAATCACAATGCATCCCCTTGTGTTTTACTCGGATTATGTCAGTTGGACCTAAACGTAGAACATGTATACAAAACAAAAGGCAATTTTTAAGAAATGGGAAGCTGGTTACAAGTAAACTCCAAACTGAGGGAGCAGGCTATAATGCAAAAACAGAGGAAAAGCAACTTGAGACTAAATAAGGAATATACCGGGATGGCATGAGGAACAAATGCAACAAATCTTGAGGAAAGACGACAAATTATCCAGGTACGAACACAGACAGACTTACATGTATATACTGTATACACTCTGAACTAATCACATAAACAAATGGGAGGCAAAACCACAAGGCAGCAGGGTTATGTTGTGAGTGGGGCACGAATTAGTCCTGAATCCCAGAAATAACCTTTCTGACAGGGAACAGAAGGCTTTATCTATGCTCTTCTTTATGATCTATTGTGTGTATTGTGTATTGGGTGTTTTAAAGCTATGGTTCAGATAACTAAAGTCACACAATAAACAAACCAATCGAGGCAGAAGCAGAATAATAACTTTGGTTTTCTGGAAGGTATCAGTCTTTTTGTCATTGGAGTCTGGTGGCTTTAAAGGTCCCATGTCATGGCCATTTCTACTGATCATATTTCCATTGTTGAGGTCTACTAGAATAGATTTAAATTGTGCAATTTTCCAAAATCACATTGGTTTCTCATACAGCATCTCTGTATATTATGTGTATTCACCAGGTATTCACTCTCTGTCCTAAACGGCTTGTTGGAGCTCCTGCCCCCCCCTCCCTGTGAGTCCAGTGTGCTCTGATTGGTCGGGACGTTGCGAGGCTCGTTGCTGCTCGCCGCTGCTGCGAGGAGCGGACAGGTCTCCGGGTCAGCGATACAGCGAGAACAAGCGAAACTCATCCTGAGCACACACAAACACTCACAGCCGAAGTAAAAACAATAAGTGTGGCTTGATATTGAGTAAGAAAAAGGTTTAGAACGCTGTGAGAATGGGTCTGCAGAGAGCATTTCTCCGCGATCCCAACTCGTCTATTACCAGCGTTCAGGGAGCTCTATGCAAGTCAATGGGGACTCCCTGTTAGTTAGCCAAGGGATCCTGGTGTGTGAGGTGCACCGCGGATTGGTCCATTTGGGCCAATCCGGTAATTTGTTGTTAATTTGGGTGTTCATACGTCACAGAACCCAGGAAGCAAACAATGGAAAATGAGAAATCTCCAACGAGGCGTTTTGGGGCAGCATAGACAGGTCTTTTCTGTGTTAGAGTTTTTCTCGCTACAGGGTGTACTTGGAGGGTTTTTGACTCTGCAGACCGTTTACATGCAGAAAAACCTTCATAACACACAAGGGGACGGGTAATAACCGGAAAAGCATGACATGGGCCCTTTAATACATTTAGGAAAAAATACTGTCATGATCTTAGTTAATGTTTTTTTCTGTTTCCTGTTTTATTTTGTAAAAACAACCCCTTTGTGTAATGTCTGGTTTCACTTCCTGTGGGTTTTCCTGTGTTTTTGTGATTGCTGGCTCCATTTTGATTTGTTTATCCACCTGTGTCTAATCACGATGCTTCCCTTGTGTTTTACTCTCAGGCATTATGCTGGCAGTTGGACCCAAACACAGAACAAACCAGCAGGTATAAAAACAAAAGACAAGTTTTAAGAAATGGAAAGCTGGTTACAAGTAAACTCAAAACAGAGGAAAAACAAGAAAAGGAACCTACCAGGATGGCACGCGGAACACATGCAACACATCTAAGAGGAAACATGAGGAATGATCCAGGTAAGAACACACAGATTGACAGGTATATACACACTCTTCATACAAACAAATAGGAAGGCAAAAATACAAGGCCAGTAGGGTTATGTTGTGAGTGGGGCAGGGATGAGGCCCAAATCCCAGATATTACCTTTCTGACACGGAACTGAAGCCTTTAGCTATGCTCTTCTTTAAAGTGGACCTATCATGCTATATTTGAATAATATAGTGTAGGACCATACCTATATAAGGCATATTTATACTTTTTTTTTTTCAAAATACCAAACAGATCATGCATTTTAGCCATGCCTCATTTTGCTCAATTTGACCATTTCTAGCTCTGGGCAGATTCAGTGAGAACAGCACCATCTGGCCTGGCATATGTACTACAGCGTCTCCAGCGCTTTCGAACGGCAATGGCCGTGGCTGTCTCCTCCTGATTGGTGGAGTTGGCCCAATAGCTGTAGCGCCACTGTCCTGACGTCAGGACAGTGTTCAAATCTGGATCAGTTTTTATCAGATCCGTTGCAGCCCCTTTTTTAGAGATTTGGGTATGGAGGAAAATAGAGAGGGTTGTGTTTTCTGACACTTGGTGAGTTCCCTGGAACACCGGGGACACA